TGGTCGTGCCGTTTGTTGCTGACCACTGGGCGTTTTGGGCATTCATGCCTAGTGTGCTCAGCTCCTCTATTACAAAGAAAACATACACACGCGTGCAGATACATGTACACACACTTACATACCGCACTAACACAAAGACAAAACAAAGACCAAGATCCCCCGTGTAGCCTTAACAGACTGTTTGGGCAAGTTGCTGTCAGCGAACGCCTATGAAGGCTGGCATGGCACACGAGGGGGTTGGTGGCCAGCCAGCACTACACCCGGCCGCCTTTGTCTCTCCAGTGGCGACGTCCACACCCTACACTGCGTACTCATTTGAGACTGAGTCGACCTAGGGGAGGCCCAAGACCGGCTCGGATAATCGTCACTGGTGTTGGCCGTGAGCGGGAATCGAACCCGGGTTGCCAGGCTCACTGCGCAGCGCGCTAACCGCTACACCACCGCTCCCACACACACATACACACGCACGCACATACAGAAACGCGCACACACATACGCACGTGTGCGACCTCGGAGAGGCGAAGAGAGGCTCGTGTGCGCCACCGACGATGGCCGTGGGCCGCAAAATGTAACCCGGCTCCATAGTCTTTGGTTCTTTCGGTAAAGTCACGTAGATATACAATAAAAATAAATCACGACGTTTCGATTGCAACACAAGTAATCATCATCAGGTGGGAAAACCACAGCAAGAATTTTTTTTTTTGCTGAAGTGGAAGAGAGATGCCGTGGTAAGAGGTCCTCAGCCGCGGCGCGCTAACCGCTGCGCCACCGCTCCCCATGTACACACGCGACCCCGCGGGCAGCACCTTGCGGTCCGCGTGCAGCACCTCCCCGGCTGGCTCAGGTGGATCGTCTTGCGCCGGCCCCCGGCCCAGCTGCCGCTAAAGTAGTCGGCGAGCGTCTGGTGCAGCAGGCGGCGCTCCTCGCCCTGCAGGTAGCGCTCCAGCACCGCCTCCACAAACTGCCTGCGACGGACAGGGAAACCTGCCACTCGCACATGGCACTCTCACCCTCACCTGCCACGTGTCACGTGTCACTGTCACCTGCCACTCTCACCTATCACCTGTCACTCTCACCTGTCACCTGTCACGTGTCACTCTCACCTGTCACTGTCACTTGTCACTTTCACCTGCCACTCTCACCTATCAGGGCCACCTGTCACTTTGCTGTCACACTCACCTGCCAGGTGAGTCTGGCTGGTGAGTCCGCATCCCGAGACAACCTCCCCTCTCTCCCCCTCACCCACAAGTCCGCAACTCCTTCCCTCTGGCTTCATCGCCACGAAAGATCAAAAGGTGTCGGTGGGAGGTCGGCAGAAGACAAACCAGAACCAACGACCGGGTCTCGTGCCACGTGGTGGGAAATTACCAATTGCTTTGAGGTGTGTAATTTATGCACCGATTACAAGTTACAAATGTAACTCATTTCACGCCTTATTTACATTTCATTCGTGAACTGCCGGTCAAAGCATCGGGAACAACTGCGGGGTGAAACTAAAACTATTTGACCCTTTTTATTTTACCAGGTAAGGCCTCAATTGAGCTATGTAGCTCTTTTTCAGAAGCGACCTGACCACAAAGAATAGCGCAACAAAGTAGCCGATCATCGTCAGTTGGAAATGTGTAGCAGCTAAATACTCTAACCGTGACGTTGATTCGGAATGTGAAGGGAAAAACTGGGAAAAATCCACCCGACCACGTGGCGAGAGGGAGAGACACAAACTCCAAATATACAACAGCAGGCATCAGGGTCGGGATTGAACCCACGACCTCCTGCATATCAGCGAGGTAGGGAAAGGGTTAACCCGTTTCTGTTCCCGAGACGTCTGCAACTTGCAGGGTGTGGGTGTCCTCGTTCACCGCCGAATCTTGGAACGTTAATTTATTTAGAGAGACGTAGCAGCAGCGCCGCTGTTTTTAAAGATGTCGGTAAATCACCGCGGAGAACCGTAGCGAACCTGGACTGCCACACTCTGCGATAGCTGGCGCCAACTGGTTGCTGCACGTCCTCCTGCGGGCCTTGTGGGAGCTCGCTACTGTATAAAGTTATTTCATTTTAGTTTTTCTCCCGGTTTAGTTTGATGACGTACACCTACGTCGGTTTGGGGAAGAAAAACTGATGATGGCACGGGAAAGGGTGAAACATCTACCTCGTCTGGGGTTGCCCACGGCAGAGCGGCCGTCACGAAAGTGCCCACGCCAGCACCGTGCCAGGCGAGGCGTCGAGGCGGTGAGGCGGGCGCACCTGTGGTAGAGCGCGATGACGGTGTGCCCGTCCGCCTGCCGGTCCACCAGGTAGTCGGCGAGGTCGTGGCGCAGGCGCGTCCACAGCAGAGGCGGCAGGCGCACCATGTCGCGGTTGGGCGGAGACCAGTACTGGTAGACGTCGGCCAGCACCGCGTCGTCCAGCGAGAGGCAGTCCTTGAGCTCCAGCTCCGAGAGGCCGCTCCTGGCGAGGGCCGCCCACCACGCACCTACCATTAGCGCGGACGGCTAAGTTCGAGGTACGCGTGCACGTGTGTGCGCGTACGCACGTACGTACATATGCGCGTGCGTACGGACGTACATACGTACGAGCGCATGTCACACAGAGGTGGCGGCGGCGAGGACTTTGTCTAGTGAAGTTGACGACGGTGGTGACAACAAAAGTGATTACGACGATGGTGATGATGATTATGACGATGGTAAAAGTACAATCGGGATGGTAACGACGGTGACAGCCACATTAATGGGAAAGTGATGATGACAGCCGCGGTGATGATGATGGTTGATGATGATGATTGATAATGATGATGATGATAATGGTTGATGATGATGGTTGATAATGATGATGATGATGATAATGATTGATGGATGATGATGATGGTTGATGATGATGATGATAATGATTGATGGATGATGATGATGATGATGGTTGATAATGATGATGGGTGATTGATGGTTGATGATAATGATGGTGATGATGATGGGTAATGATGATGATGGTTGATGATGATGGTTGATGATATGATGATGATGATAATGGTTGATGATGATGGTTGATAATGATGATGGATGATGATGATGATTGATGGATGATGATGATGGTTGATGATGATGATGATAATGATTGATGGATGATGATGATGGTATTGATGATGGGATTGATGGTTGATGATATGATGGTTGATGATGATGATGGGTGATGATGATGGTTGATGATGATGATGGTTGATGATAATGATTGATGATGATAATGGTTGCTGATGATGGTTGATACTGCTGATGGGTGATTGATGGTTGATGCTAATGATGGTTTGATGATGGTTGATGATGATGATGGTTGATGATAATGATTGATGATGATAATGGTTGATGATGATGGTTGATAATGATGATGGATGATGATGGATGATGATGATAATGATTGATGGATGATAATGATGGTTGATAATGATAATGGGTGATTGATGGATGATGATGATGATGATGATGATGATGATGGTTGATGATGATGATGGATCATGATGTGATGATGATGCTTGATCGAGGACGAGGTTGTTTTTAGATGTACAGCACAACAATCTCCTGCTCAGCACAACAATCTCCTGCACAGCTCCCTGCTGACAACGCCGACCCTAACAAGCCGATAGCACCTGTTAGTCGTCCTTCCACCGAGGCACGCACACAGAGAAAGAGAGAAAGTGCGAGGAGCGTGGCAGCACCTGGAGGCCACCACGAAGCCCAGCGCGTGGGCCACGAGCGCGCGCCGTGCTGCGCCTCGAGGCGCGCGTACAGCGCGTGCACCGCCTCCCTCGTGTCGCTCGCCACGCGGCCGCGCAGCTCGAGGCCGAGCGGCGCGAACGAGCGCCAGCGGCGCGCCTCGTCGAACGCCAGGCGCACGAAGAGCGGCTGCCCGCAGCGGGCGAACGCCGAGAGCAGCAGGGCGCGCTGCTCGCCCGCCAGCGTGCGGCCCGCCGCCCGCAGGAGCCCATCCATCATCTCGCCGCCGTTCTCCGGCATCAGAGGCTCGACCTGCGGAGGAGGGGGGGTGTAGGGGAGGGGGGGGGGTCGAATTACGTCATTGGAGTCTCCGACCGCCACTCGAGAAGCCGATGGTGTGCACGTGATGTTACGGTGAACGCACCCGCTGTAAAAATAATATTAACCAGGGTGGGCCCGCCGGATTGGAACTGCACACGCTGGGCCGCCCGCTCTCTTCCTCCACTCCCCCCTTTCTCTCCTCACTCACCACGACCTCTCATCCACTCCTCACCCTCTTTCCACCACTGTCGCCCCTCGCATCGTCGGTCATTCCGTCCATGCACACCGCCCCAAACTCTCCTCTACTCCCTCTCCTCCCGCCATCTCCTCCAGTCCCTCTTCTTCCCATCCCTCTCCTCCACTCGCGCTCCCTCCTCTCCTCTCACCCTCCTCTCCTCCCACTCTCACCTCCACACCCTCCCCTCCCTCTGTCGCCTGCTTCCCCTACCCTCTCCTCCACTCCCTCTCCCTCCTCGCCCCCTCCCCCGCCGTCACCTCGAGGTACGCGGCCGCGTCGTGCACGGCGGCGCGCAGCGCGTCCAGGATGCCGTGCTCGCTGGGCAGCGTGGAGACGACCACGAGCACGCTCGCCGCGTAGCGCTTGGGCAGCCAGTGCAGGCGGTGGGCACCGTCCGCGCCCGACAGCTGGTCCAGCGAGTCCAGCACCAGCAGCAGCGGCGGCGCCTGCGGCTGCTCGCCCAAGCTCGTCAGAAGCCGGTGGAAGAACCTGCGGCGGGGAGACGGCGGCGTGGTTTTACGCTTCTCCGCGCAGCGGGGAAGCGTACCGTCCTCGCGCAGACTCGCACAGAGACCCCGTAGACTCACACAGAGACCCGTAGACTCACACAGAGACACACACAGAGACACATAGACTCACACAGAGACCCGTAGACTCGCACAGAGACCCCGTAGACTCACACAGAGACCCGTATACTCGCACAGAGACCCCGTAGACTCACACAGAGACCCATAGACTCACACAGAGACCCGTAGACTCACACAGAGACCCGTAGATTCGCACAGAGACCCCGTAGACTCGCACAGAGACCCCGCAGACTCGCACAGAGACCCGTAGATTTGCACAGAGACCCGTAGACTCACACAGCGACCCCGTAGACTACACAGAGACCCATAGACTCACACAGAGACCCGTAGACTCACACAGAGACCCGTAGATTCGCACAGACCCCGTAGACTCGCACAGAGACCTGTAGATTCGCACAGAGACCCCGTAGATTTGCACAGAGACCCGTAGACTCGCACAGAGACCCCGTAGACTCACACAGAGACCTGTAGATTCGCACAGAGACCCCGTAGACTCGCACATAGACCCCGTAGACTCGCACAGAGACCCCGTAGACTCACACAGAGACCCGTAGTCTCACGTAGAGACCCCGTAGACTCACACAGAGACCCGTAGACTCACACAGAGACCCCGTAGACTCACACAGAGACCCGTAGTCTCACGTAGAGACCCCGTAGACTCACACAGAAACCAATAGACTCACACAGAGACCCCGTAGACTCACACAGAGACCCGCAGACTCACACAGAGACCCGCACGGAGACCCGCACACACTCGCCCGACAGAACCCCGAGGGAGCCCCCAGACGCAGGCGACGAGTGCGGCCGGCGCTGGCGGGCGCTCACCGCACGGTGTCCGCGTAGACGTTGAGCACGTGTGCAGGCGGCCGCTCGCGCTCGTAGGCGAGGCACAGCTGCAGGCAGAGGCCCCGCAGCACCGCGTGGATGTCCGAGCTGAGCGGCGACGTCCCCAGCAGGCGCGCCGCCACCACCACCTCCTCGCCCAGCTGCTCGGGCGCCTGGCGCACCAACTCGGCCAGCACCGACGTCTTGCCGGTGCCCGACGGTCCGAACACACCACCGGGGGAATGTCCCTAACGGGGGGGCGGGGGGTGGGGGGATCAGCACGACCGTCCGTGGGTTGCAGGTGCTAGGCGGTCACGTGATGCCGCTGCTGGAGGTGCACCGGTCATCTGTGATCATCAAGAGCTTCGAAGTTCATCGGATTCCTCCGGTCTAAATCAAGATTCTGAAGGGGGGGGGTGGGGGTTTGTTTTAAAAGAGTCACTGAATTTTCTGTTGTCTTCTGATTCTGAGCAAACGAAAACCAGGTAAGGGCGAAGTGGCTTATCACGTGCAAATGTACAGCAGCCTAATACTCTAAACTGCATGCTGTTCCTAAATGTGGAGGGAAAACCCGGAGGACCCGGACAACAATCCGCGCGACCACGTGAAGGAGAGACACGCAGACTCCAAATACACACCGGGTGCCGCCAGGAGTCGGGATCGAACCCACGGCCCCCATGCATAGCAGGCGACGGTAGCCAATGTCTGCCAGCCACTGCGGCGAGGAGGCTAACCCCCCCCCCCTCCCACACTTCTCTCCCCCCCCTACTGCGCGAGGCCTCTATAAATCAGATCTCTCGCCTACTTCAGCACTGTTTTCTTGCTGTGGGTGTCCCACCTGATGACGATTGATTGTGTTGCGATCGAAACGTCGTGTATGGATTCCTGCAGTCACGAAAGCTTCAAATCAGGATGTAACCACCCCTCGTGCGGTATACCCGGCAGATTCGGCGACGCCGCGACTTCGCAGTGGGGGGAGGGGGGGGGGGTCTCGGCGGACGCCCTCGGATACCTCCGGCTGCGCGCCGCCGATCGTGCAAACGTGACCACAGCGTGGCCATCAGCGCCGCCGCGGCCCGCACAGGCCCCGGGACTTGCGCTCGCACTGCGCCGCGTGGTGTCCCCAGCTCCTGCAGCAGGCGGTCGTCCGGCGCCTGCGCCCGCCGCGCCGCCTCCACGCACCGCGTGATCTGCCGCTTCAGCTCCTGGAATGAGGTGGGGGGGGGGGGGGTCTGGTGATTGCGAGGGGTGCGGCTATAGCGGGGGGGGAGGGGGGGCACCCTACCGCAGGTGCCCCCACGGTCCTCCCAGCGGCGTCGCCCCCTCCGTTGCCAGGTAGCGGGTTCGCCGCCCGTTGCAAACCGCCGGTGCGCGTTTTATTTGTTGTGCCACGTGAGCTGAGTCTTAAGACGCCTTTTCAGGAGGGTTCCTGACAATTTTCCGCAAAAGGGGGCTGATGTTGCCGTTGCTGCTGCTGCTGTTGCGGTGTGCGTGCAGATCCCCATTGAGTGATTTTCAGGTAATTGTTCAGCACTAAAATTGTTTGGTCAATACCGGTGACACTGCGTGTGTGGTGTCTGTGTGCTCGCTCACAGCACTTGCCCCAACAGTCTGTTAGGGCTATATAGGGGATCTTTGTTTATGGGAGCGGTGGTGATCCGAGTTCGATTCCTGTTCACGGCCAATACCGGTGACGATTATCTGAACCGGTAATTGGCCTCCCCTAGGTCTACTCAACCTCAAATGAGTACCATCTGTGATGTATAAACATCACCAAAGGCGGCCGAGCGTGGTGCTGGCCACCCATCCCCTCGTGTGCTGTGCCGGCCTCCACAGGTGTTCGCTAACAGCACTTGTCGAACAATCTGCTAAGGCTATATGGGGGATCTTTGTTTATTTTTAGCTAAGGAAGGAGTTGGGAGGAATCCCACGCAGTACGACGCCCGAGATGGGAATCAAGCCCAGGTGCTTATTGCTGTGCGGCACGAGTGTCAGGGGTGCAACTATGGGGGGGGGGCTGGGGGGGGCAACGATATGCGACGCATAAGGGGGCTCAGTCGGCCACAATGGGGCCCCCGAATCAACAAATAAAGCAGTTTTTAAATATAAAGAAGAATTATTCAAATTTTTATTATTAATAAAAAATAACCTGTGGTCTACCATGGACCAAGCCCACTTAACGGATCTGGCTATCGCATCAATGGAGCAGCAGCATGAAGTGGCACAGTCCACATCACCTTTGAGGAAGCGCGAGACCGATGGGGGCGGTATGAAAGCAAGACGCACGAAAACTTGTAAGTATTTGTTACCTTAAAATATATTTTATTTATTATTAATAACTGTCACTGCACGACTGTATTCCTCTACATCCAATACACGGTGCAACTATAATAGCATATACATAGTTATAGCCATACACATTATTATTGTTACCCGGGGTTAAAAAACATCCGTAGCTATTTCAGTAAAAGTGAGTCGCGAGAAAGGAGTGGGGACCCACAGTCGGATCTTGCCATACCCCCCCCCCCCACCCCCGAAGAAAGAGATCGCTGCGCCTCTGACGAGTGTTGCCATCCTGCCACCCCGAACAACCCACAATGCACTCGACGTCTGCTCCGCTCACGGCGGGCGATCAATCCCGGGGCCGTCGCTCGGAGACGAGGAGGTCGTTGTGTTTATTTTACTTACTTTGGTGCAATTGTGAACAATCGCCGTATCAGACATGAGCACATCTGATCAGCATAATCATTGGCTCACTGCAGCTCGAGACTCAGTCCCTACAAGGCGTGCGGTGAAGTTAGGGAAATGTCCCAATGTGTGAGCTCGCCATTTAAAGGCCTGAAGACCGGAATCGGTGATGTCGCCGGCAATGTGTTCATCAGGGGAGGCAGAGTTCCGTTTCCAGACAGCAGAGTGAAGAAGGGAGCTCCTGTCCAGGCAACAATGTCATGGCAATTGGTGGGGGCACGGGCGTGGCTTGGCAGGGTTATGCATTATCGGGTGGCACGGCATCATCGTCCAAAATTTGGCCGAGTTTTTAAAACAACTTTGCGTTTAACTGATCTGGGTTTAAATAGAATTTCAACAACCCCCCCAGACTACGAAAACTTGGCAGGAACCGTCCTTAAAAACAACAAGAGCCTCGAGACTTTGCGAGGCATCCAACACGAGAAGAAGAAGAACAATAACAATATCGGCCGCCCGCGACACGTAGCGCCGTCGTGGTATCGCCGTCGTTCTGCCCCACGGAGGGAGCTGCGCTTCCGCACGCCCGGATCTCGCGTCGACGCCTTTGAAAGGAGCAACCCTCCCCCGGCGGCAGCCGTCCCTGCGTGGCACGAGGCGCCGTGGCCATAACTCACCGCGGTGAACGTGCGGCAGACGCTGTCCAGGTAGCGGCGGTGCGACTCCACGGCCGAGTCCACCATGCCCTCGCTCCACTCCACCTGGTACACCACGAGGCGGGCGCGGGGGGCGTTCTCGGATCCCGCCGGGGGCCCCGGACGCCGCCGCCACTGCCGTGCCGGCTCGCAGTCGGCGCTTGAGCGAGCGCAGCAGCGCCTGCGCCTCGGCGTCGACGCGGAAGGCCCTGTCGGGGCCCGCGCTCGGCGTCCACGAAAGACGCGGGCGCGCATCGCCGTCGCGGGCACGCACGCGGCCACCCGCGGGCCCTCGCGCACGAACACGGAGCAACACTCGGCCGCACGGTGGGGGCGGGTGGGGGGGTTGGGGGCGCCCCCCCCGCCCCGTGCCGGCGGGGGGGGGCTCAGCACGCCCATCTCTATCTCCGCCTCGGTGACTGCGGCGCGTGCGGGGGGGGGGGGGGGTGTGCGCAGGTGAGTGACGCAGGGGAGATACGGGTGAGGAATGAGAGAGATTGGCAAGGGCTCAGAGGTGAGACATTGGTGAGTGACGCAGGTGACAGAAATACAGATGAGACGCGGGAGGTAGACAAGTCACGTTTGTGCGAGAGACACGGATAAGGGTCGCAGGTGAGACAGATGAGAGAGACATGCAAAGCGCACACAGGTGACACAAACACGCAAGTGAGACCCGTGCAACAGAGGGAGTGTTGTTCACGTGTCTCATCGGGCTTGATCCATCGGGTTAAATAAAGTATACGACGTGGTGAGGACACAGCAGAAACACAGGTGAGACTCACCTGTATTAGATAGGTCACACACACGGGTGAGACATGTGGCAGAGACACGGGAAGCACACACCGTAAGAGGCACAGGTGAGGATTAGCTGTGTGAGATAGGTCACACACACACGGGTGAGGCAGGCGAGAGAGACACGGGAAGCACACACCGGTAAGAGGCACGGCTGAGACGCACTCAGGTGAGACCTCACCTGAGCAGAGGTACGCGTGGTATCTCTCTGCGGAGAGGAGACCCTTGCGCATGGCGGCACCCGCGCTGCGTCTCAGGATGTCCGAGAGGCGGGACTCCGCGTCTCTCCAGAGCGCCGCGTCCCGCGCCTGTAACTCGGCCCGCGAGGGGTCCTGTCGGGGCGCAGGGATGAAGGCGTCGTCACTGCCAAAGCCGCTGACGCCACTGACGCCACTGACGCCGCCGCCACCTAAGACAAAGATCCCCCGTGAAGCCTTAACAGACTGTTGGGGAAAGTGCCGTTAGCGAGCACCTATGAAGGCCAACATGGCACACGAGGGGGTGGGTGGCCAGCACCACGCTCGACCGCCTTTGTCTCCCTGGTGGCTATGTTTTGTTACACACCGGATCAGGTATTCATTTGAGGCTGAGTTGACCTAAGGAAAGTTCACGACCGGTTTCAATAATCGTCACTGGCCTTGGCAGCGAGCGGGAATCGAACTCGGGTCACTGGTTCGCGGGCGCGCTAATCGCTACCACCACCACCGCCACCACCGCCACCATCAGCACCGCCACCACCAGCACCGCCACCATCACCACCACCAGCACCGCCACCAGCACCGCCACCACCAGCACCACCGCCACCAGCACCGCCACCACCGCCACCACCAGCACCGCCACCACCACCGCGACCACCACCACCGCGACCACCACCACCGCCACCACCAGCACCGCCACCACCACCGCCACCGCCACCACCGCCACCACCGCCACCGCCACCACCGCCACCGCCACCACCGCCACCGCCACCACCGCCACCACCACCACCACCGCCACCACCACCACCACCACCGCCACCACCACCACCGCCACTACCAGCACCGCCACCACCGCCACCATCACTATACGTCGCCAACGCTCGCTCCCCTCCGCCAAATCCCGAAGCTGCTGCCCAGTCGACGCCCTGGGACCTCCAAGGTCTGCCCCTGACCGTCTCTCGCCGTGAACTCTGAGGTCTTCGCTTCCCCTGGGTGGCCCGGGCTCGTGGAGACCGCTTCCGATGTCTGCCACAAGCAATTCCCCCCCCTCTATCCCCTCCACCACCCTGCGCTCGTCACACCCAGCGCTAACCGCTCCTAACCACAGCAACAACACACGCCTGCCGTGTTCGCTAGCGGCCTTCTGCCATTGCTTCTCCGAAACTTGCCACGAAGTTCCCAGCATCCGTCTCAGACTCCTGGGCTCAAGAGCCAAAAACTCGTCTCCACGAGTCGTCGTGAGGGCGCGGCCCTCTCTCTGATCCACGCAGTGACGCACACGTTCTCTCCTGCCGTCAATAGCCTTCATCTACCCACACCTGCCAACCCCTTATCATTGCCCTACCTTATTACAGACCAATTCAGACATTGTTGGTCACCCCGTAGCCTTATAAATCGCAACATCCATCCCACAGAGTCCCATCACAAGGGAGAAACACAAACAAATAGACAATGTTTTTGCCCGTATTAAAACGGCTGTACGCTGTACGGACCTGAAAACTCACATCTCCTGTACAATAATACGGGTAAACCGCATGGGTTGACACGGTATGTCCACTCCCCTCTATAGGGGATGGTGTGGGGGGGGGGGGGTCCTCATGGAGCGAGTGGAGAGAGGGGGCTGAGTGGAGTAGGGGAACAAAGGGGAGTGCAGCGGTGGCTACCACAGCTGCTGCTGCTGCTGCAGCTGCTGCTGCTGCCTGTTATCGTCTACTTCTGTGCTGGGAGCATCAGCGAGGGTCGGTGGATCACCACACACCGATGGTGTAGTGAAACTCGCTTCCCGTGGACGACGAGGAGGTTGCCATACCCTGGCTCGCCAGGAGAAGGCGGTTACGTCAAGGGGGCGAATAGTCATCTGTTTCCATCTGAACGGGGATGGAGCGTTGCCAACTCGCCCAAGGCGCGGGTTTTGTGCGGTTGCTCCGCTTTCCTCCCACCTGGTACAGGGACTCCTCTACTTACGAACATTCGACTTACGAACTTTCAGAGACACGAAAGAACCTGGTCCGTATGTCGAGTTGCCTGTTCGGACCGCGAGTCGCGAGTTCAACCACCGCGCAATAGATGGCGGTGCTTGCTGGGTAACATTACCCAGCATTCCCTGAATTTCTGCCTGTGCAGCCGCGATTGTCTCTTGCTGTGTTGCCGGCTAACGACGACGTTTTCTCTGCTTTTCACGAACATCGTCAACCTCTGCACTGTCTCAGACGCGTCAGAGTGGGGAAAGTGTTGAGGGTGGTCGGAAGAAGTGACGCACTCTTACGATGGAAACTGAAGTGGACGTGATGAAGCGTTGTGAACCGGTGGCATCTACAGGAGAATCCACGACTTGTTTGGTGGACACGCCGTACAACATGTTGGGAGTCGACAGGAGTAAAGTTAACGACCAACGAACAAATCGACTTACGAACAGACCTATGGATCCTAACTCTTTCGTAAGTAGAGGAGTCGCTGTCCACAGTAGTCGTTGTGAATTAGCTGAAAACATTGTCAAATAAAAACGCAATGTAGCGGCAGCAACAGCAGCAAGACCCTCCTAAAAAACGACTCCTACGATAAACGATTAAATGTCTAACTATAATCTTGATTTGAAGATTTCGTGACTGTATGAATCAATACTATTTGTTTTTTTCGGTAAAGTCACGTAGGTAGAAAAATAATAGATCACGACGTTTCGATCGCAACACAAGCAATCGTCATCAGGTGGGACAACCACAGCAAGAAAAAACTGCTGAAGTAGGCATCAGTTTTTCAGCAGTTTTTTCTTGCTTTTATTGTCCCACCTGATGACGATTGCTTGTGTTGCGATCGAAACGTCGTGATCTATTATTTTTCTCACTATAATGTTTGTCTGTTTGTTTTAAACGTGCAGATCAGAGAGAGAGAGAGCGAGCGAGCTAGCGAGAGCGTCGGCTGGCCTGGTCGTCGAAGTGCGGCAGCAGGGCGGTGATTGGCTGGAGCAGGAAGAGCGGCGGCTCCGCGTTGGCGTCCCGCCAGAACCACGCGTCCAGCTGCTCCGTCTCCTCGCGGGTCGCGCAGCCGCGCAGCGCCTCCATCTCCGCCTCGGGGATGGTGCGCGGGAGCGGTCGGTAGCCGTAGCGGTTCCCCAGCAGGGCCTGCGAGCGAGCCGGGAGGAGACGGGGGGGATGGGGGGGAGAGACGGGGAGTGGGAGAAGAGAGCGGGGAGTGGTGGGAGAGGTCGGGGGGGGGGGAGAGTGGAGAGAGAGCGGGGGGGGGGAGAAAGGGAGGGCGGGAGGAGAGGGGGAAGGGAGAGGAGAGATGGAGGGGAGAGGTACAAGAGAGCAGGGAGAGGTGGGATAGGTGGGGGGAGTGGGCAGTGAGATAAACAGAGGAGAGAGAGCGGGAGGGGAGGGGGAGAGGAGAGAATCAGGATATGTATTGATCCTGGAGGAATCCGATAAGCTATCAAGCTCTTTTTCACAGATGTCCAGTCGCGGCACGGGGTCAGAACGTCACAACAACAATACGAAAACACGATAGGAATGCAGCGTATAGGAAATGTAAGCAAATTAAAAAAAACATACAAAAAAATACTATTTGTCTTACCAGGAGAGAGGGAGAGGGGGAGAGAGGAGATCGGGAGGATAGGGGGGGGGGCAGCAACGCAGTGATTGGCACAAGGCGCTGTGAACCCAGCCACACGAGTTCAATTCCCGGCCACGGCTCACATGAGCAACCAGTGGACGTCTGCGAAAACACGGAGCTTAATAGCTCATCGGATTACTCACTCCAGTATGAATACAAATTCGGAAAGTAATCTGAAATTATTCTGATTCTGAACCGGTCCCGAGTTCCCTCCTTCATCGACCGGCACTGACCGGCGTGGTGAAGTATGGTCAGACAACCCTCGTGATCTAAACAGCGTGGGGAGGCCTTCATACTGGCATGTATTGACCAAGAGCTGTAAGTCGTCGTTGTTGTTGAATCGTCACCGCTTCCAACTCTGTTCCCCCGTAATATAGTTGTTTTTGGGTTAGATCGCATAAATATAAATGTGTCGTTATACCCGCCACCACCCGACACCGCTAATTAATTAGTAAGGGTTGTCACGTAAACAGAACGCGCCAATTCGTTACTAGTACAGCACACCGGTGTATGGGAGAGTAAAACGCACAACATTTACAACGTTTCGCCAATAATTACAACGAAGCACCATCAGAGCGGACAACCGGAGTTGTGGAGAAATCCTCCTGCTTCGGTAACGCCCGCGAAGACCTCGGCTTCGTCCGCTCGATTCCGAGTTTCTCCAATCTTCTGCTTACGGCTAATATCGGCCGCGAAAGCCAAACGCGTGAATCTGTTCCCCCCGACTCACTCACCACGAAGGTGGGGCCCACAGACGTCTTCTGGCAGCTCTCGATCTCCCGCAGACAAAGCTCCGTGGTCATGTGGTCCACCGCCACCGTGTCACGTACTCCCCAGCGCATGTCTACCACCTGCGCCACCACCACCACCACCACGGGTGCAGGGGTGAGCAGACGGGTAGGTGGGTGAATGGGTGAGTAAGAGGGTGAGTGCGTAGGTGGGTGGGTGAGTGGGTGAGTAAGAGGGTGAGTTGGTAGGTGGGATGCGTGGGTGGGTAAGCGGGTGAATGGGTGAGTAAGAGGGTGAGTGGGTAGGTGGGTTGGTGAGTGGGTGAGTAAGAGGCTGAGTGGGTAGGTGGGTGAATGGGTGAGTAAGAGGGTGAGTGGATAGGTGGGTGGGTGAATGGGTGAGTAAGAGGGTGAGTGGGTAGGTGGGATGCGTGGGTGGGTAAGCGGGTGAATGGGTGAGTAAGAGGGTGAGTGGGTAGGTGGGTGGGTGAGTGGGTGAGTAAGAGGGTGAGTAAGTGGGTGAGTAAGAGGGTGAGTGGGTAGGTGGGATGCGTGGGTGGGTGAGCGGGTCAATGGGTGAGTAAGAGGGTGAGTGGGTAGGTGGGATGCGTGGGTGGGTGAGCGGGTCAATGGGTGAGTAAGAGGGTGAGCGGGTGAGTAAGAGGGTGAGTGGGTAGGTGGGATGCGTGGGTGGGTGAGCGGGTGAATGGGGAAGTAAGAGGGTGAGTGGGTAGGTGGGTGGGTGGGTGGGTGAGCGGGTGAGTAAGAGGGTGAGTGGGTAGGCGGATGCGTGGGTGGCATGCTGGTGAGAGGATTGATTGGTAGGCGGGTGAGTGGACAGGTTAATCAGTGGGCGAGTGAGCGGGTGAGTGAGCAGGGGAGTAAACAAGTGAGTTGGCGGGTGAGTTGGTGTCTTGGTTGGTTAGTGGGAAGCGGCGGTGTAGCGGTCAGCGCGCCGCGCTACGAACCCGGCACCCCGAGTTCGATTCCTGCTCAAGGCCAACACCAGTGACGATGACCTGAACCTGGTCAGCCTCAGATGAGTACCTGGTGCGATGCATAAACATCGCCACGAGGAAAACAAGGCGGTAGGGCGTGGTGCTGGTCACTCGTGTGCCGTGCCTGCTGTCATAGGTGCTCCTGGCTAACATAATTTTCCCCAAGGGTTTGCTGAGGCAACACGTACGGCGTATATTTGTGTTGATCTTCATTCGCACCGTACGTAGCCAACCGTGCTAATCGGCGGCGCGATGTGGTTAGTGGGTGAGTGGGTTGGTGAGAGAGGTGTGCTCACCTCGAAGGTGAGGCCCCGCTCTTGGCAGAAGGCCTGCAGCTCGGGGTAGGCCTTGTCCAGGAGCGTGTCTCTCTCCGTCTGCATGTCTGCGGGGGTCACCGTGGCCACGCCACCAGGGTCACAGAGACCCGCACCACCACCACCAGGGTCTCAGAGACCCCCACCACCACCAGGGTCACAGAGACCCCACCACCACCAGGGTCACAGAGACCCCCACCACCACCAGGGTCACAGAGACCCCACCACCACCAGGGTCACAGAGACCCCCACCACCACCAGGGTCACAGAGACCCTGTAACCATGGGGGTCACAGAGACCCCCACCACCACCAGGGTCACAGAGACCCCCACCACCACCAGGGTCACAGAGACCCCCACCACCACCAGGGGAGTCACAGAGACCCCGTAACCATGGGGGGTCACAGAGACCCCGTAACCATGGGGGGTCACAGAGACCCCGGGACTCGAGCTCACAAATGCACGGTTGCTGCCAGCGACGGCATCACCCGCACATTCTCCATCCGCTGCTCGATGGAAGTCTCGCTCGTGAGCCCTCCGTGTGCCTGTGACCCCTGAGCCATGCTGCGGTTGTTTGGGTGGCTGCAGCTACGATCTGCCCACTCCACCCCGCGACTCGTTTGGAGATAGGTTAAGTTCCTCGCCTTACATTATCGTCTTATCGAGTGGCCTATTTACTAATTGATTGGAATGACGGGCTCCTTAAATCACCAATTGTCAAACCGATGGAACCGGTTCTACGATCCATAGAGTTTTCGAATTTACTGATAAACTGCTTGCTTTAACTGACCCCCTGACTGATGAACTGGTTGGCGAATTAATTTTCCTCCTAACTAGCCGATTCACTGCCTGGTAAAATGGTCCTCCGGACTGACTGAAGGACCGGCTGACTAGCTGACTAAACTCCTGACTGACTAACGCATCGGCTGATTGGGTGACTGATCTCCGGATTGACTGACGGGCCGGTTGACTGGCTGACTAAGATTCTGACTGACGGACCAGTTGACTGACTGACTGAGCTCTTTACTGACTGGCTGACTGCACTCCTGACGGATCGGCTGACTGGGTGACTGAGCTCTTGATTGACTGACGGACCGTTTGACTGGCTGACTGAGTTCCTCAATTACTTCCGGACCGGCTGACTGGCTGACTGAGCTCCTAACTGACGGACTGGCTGACTGAGCTTCTCACTGACTGACGGACCGGTTGACTGGCTGACTATTGGACCGAAATAACGATGTCTGTAGACCCCGCATTTAAACCAAATACGTCCCTCGGTGTGAGAGCGAGATCAGCCCTCCCGGCAAGACGAACGGACGGAGCCTGAGCCACCGATGAAGCCGAGCGTCCCCCCTCACTGACCCGAGAAGGTGGAGCTGAGGAAGACGCGCACGAGGTTGGAAGCCTCCGGCAGCTGCACCCCGAGGCGGCCACGCACCAGGGCTCTCTTGTGGCCCCATTTCTGCCAGGCCTTCTTCATGGCCTCCTGAGCCCCGCGATGTCGGTGTGGCTGTGGTATCCTTCCCCCGCGCCTCCGATTAGCGCGGTTGGCTGCGTACGGTGCGAAAGAAGTTTAACATGCGGTGCATACACTCATAGGTTACCACTCGTCCTCACACATCGCCGCTCCTCACTCACCGCCACTCACCGCTCCTAAAAACTAAACGCTTCTTACGACATAGAACTCCTCACCCTCACCCCTCACTACTGAACCCTCATCACTCTGCGCCTCTCACCACTCACCAACTCCTCACCACTATCCTTCATTCACGACTCACCACCACGACTCGATCCATGACCCTCTCTAACCCATCACTCTATCGACCTGAACCAAACTCCAACCCAAACCCTCTAGCTCTAAACCTTAATCCGGTAGTTCTCAACCTTGTGACTGCTCTCCCCGCCTTGTTGAATGCTCATTATAGATTTGAAGTTTTCGTGACTGCAGGGATCCATACTTTTTGGTTCTTTCGGTAAAATGTATTTTATACCTACGTGACTTTATCGAAAGAACCAAAGAGTATGTTGTTGAATGCTGTTTCAACCGAGTGTACACCCACCCCTCACCCCGCCACGCCTCGCCTCACCCAACATGGTTCTGGGAAAATAAATGTACGAATAATGAACGTCGATATTTTTTTTTTACCAACTTGTCCATTTTGTGAGATACATCCATCCCAACGTGCTAAGTGACTGCAAGCGAATAATAATACAACAACAATCAACGGACGCGCTCGCTGATTACTCGAGAACACCGCTTTGTTTACGATCAATGAGTTTAGAAAGGTATGTTTAGACCGCTCTAGTGTTACCACACGGATTGCAATGTGATCCCAGGGAGTTAATATTGGCAGATTCACACGCGATCATTCACCGGTGACTCTCACGCACGATATCACTGCGCACATTTATACACCACCTCACGGACGCGCACCCCCCCTGGGGGACATTGTCACGAACCCCCCCCCCCAAGGGGGTCCGCGTAACCCCCCCAGGGGGTCTATGTAACCCCCCCCCCTCCCCCCCGCTGCCCTAGCGCCCACGCACCCCGGGGCAGCAGCAGCAGCCGGCAGTGGCTCCGTTCCGGGCGCTCTGCGCGGGCTCTGCGCGGGGAATTTTGGGGTCCGCGGCTGAATAGGACTGAGGGGAGGTGGGCGGGGGGTCGAGGGGGATGGGGAGGGGGGTAGGGAGGGAGGGGGGTCTCCCGTGTTCCCCTACGGCACCCACCGCCCCTCCCTCTCCTGCCCCGGCACAGGTAGACCCCAGGTGTGTAGGCGCACGCGTGCCCAGCGTTACCTGCACGCACGTCCACCTGCGCGCTCTGTTCAAGTGGTAACGAAGCCCACGCTACATTTGTTTCATTTTATTTGACCAGGAAAGCCCCACTGAGCTGCTACGTAGTTCTTTTTTCAGAAGCGACCTTCCTATCACGAATGAAAGCTCGACGAAGTGGCTCATATTGCGGAAGTGTGCAGCGGACAAATCCTCGAAACGCGTGACGTTGATTCTAAACGTGGAGGGGATAACCGGAGGACCTGGAGAAGAATCCACGCGACCACGGGGAGAGACAAAGAGACGCGGCAAACTCCAAATATACAGCAGCAGGCGTCAGGGTCGGGATCGAACCCACGACCTCCTGCATACCAGGCGAGGTGGTTAACATCTCGTCACTGCGAGATTCACAATAACAACAATGCCATTTGCCCCCCTCCCAGGAGAGCTTCGCTGAGTCACGAGGATTCTGCCGCACCGGGACGTTTGGCCACGAGGCCGAGCAATGCGAGTCCGGCACCGCGTGGGAGGGAAGACAACTCAGCCGGAGACAACTAAACCTCCGCACAGATAGCTACAAGAATCCGACCGCACCCCCGCTCGCCTTCGCATGTACGCACCTGTGCCCGTGCGTGTCCACGTTCACCTGCTCAGGTGAGCTCGCACGCGGGCAGGTGAACGGTATCCACCGCGTGCGGGAACCGATGCGTTGCTCCGGCTAAACGCTTCGGTTACCCAGTTACCTCCTCGCCCCCCCCCCGCGCTCCCCCTCTCTTCCCATCACCCCGGGCTCTTTGTTGGCTCTCGCCCGAGCACGGACTGAGCTCCACACGCACGCACACAGAGAGTGTTTGCGGAGGGTGCGAGGGTGCAACGGGCGCAGTGAATAGAAGGGGCGAGTTTCCACAACAGAAACACGACTCGCCACGGGTGCGACACCGCCTCGCGTGGCTCACCTGTGCTCACCTGTGCTCACCTGCGGGCCGAGGGGCCAGCCAGCTAATGGAGCCGGTGTCACGTGCCCCGTGTCCCGTGGAAGGAAGGGCGCGCACAGCTGTCCCCGGAGTGTCACATGCGAACTGACCACGTGGCGCTCCTGGTGTGAGCACAGCGCCCCATACACACACACCACACACAACTATACACACACCATACACACACCATACACATACAACTATACACACACCATACACCCATCATACGCACCATACGCACCATACACACACACCACACGCACCATACACACACACCACACACACCATACACACACACCACACACACCATACACACTCCACACACACCACACACACCATATACACCACACATACCACACACACACACCGCACACACCATACACACCATACACCCCACACACCACACCATACACCCCACACACCACACCACACACACATACACCCTATACACACACCCCACACACACCACACACATACCCCACACACATACACACCCCATACACACACCATACACACACAATACACAAACACCCCATGCTCGTGCATTCACACACACGCCCCACACATTCAGAAATGCAAAGATCCACCACCGTGGTTGGTCGCGTGCGTGCGTTCATTCACGAAGTCGCCGTGCGAGCTGGGCAGGAGGCATTGGGAAATGCCGAGCCCACGCCGTAACTAGAGAGCACACACAATAAGACACGTCTAACCCGAACACTACAACTAACAATAGCACACTAAGAATCACAATTAAGAGACAAACAAACATATACAGTGTATTGTAAAACAATATATATATAATTATAAAAAATTTACTTTTGTTTCTACGTTAAAATCTAATTCATGATCTTCAAACTAACGGGGATTCTGCTCCGGTGCACGACCTCGGCGATTTGAAACACCGTGAGAGAGGCACCAAGCTTGAATTCCGCGAGAGCAAAGAAGTGTTTGTGCGTGACTGGGCTTGGCTCGCTGACTGAGCTTGGCTCGCTGACTGGGCTTGGCTCGCTGACTGAGCTTGGCTCGCTGACTGAGCTGGACTGGATTTTAAGCTTTCGTGACTGCAAGGATCCATACTCTTGGTTTTTTCGGTAAGGTCACGTAGGTTAAAAAAGAAAACAACTAAATTAAATCACGATGTTTCGGAGGCAACACAAGCCTCCGTCTTCAGGTGGAACAGTCACAGCAAAATCACTGTATCAAGTGAAGAGAGCTCGAAGAGAGCTCTAATTTAATTTATTTGTTTTCTTGTTTAACCTACGTGACTTTACCGGAAAAACCAAAGAGTATGAGCTGGACTGGGCTGGCTCGCTGACTGAGCTGGGCTGGCTCACTGACTGTGCTGGGCTGGCTCACTGACTGAGCTGGGCTGGCTCGCTGACTGGGCTGGGCTGGCTCACTGACTGGGCTGGGCTGGCTCACTGACTGAGCTGGGCTGGGCTGGCTCGCTGAGCTGGGCTGGGCTGGTTCGCTGACTGGGCTGGGCTGGCTCACTGACTGGGCTGGGCCACTGACTGAGCTGGGCTGGGCTGGCTCGCTGACGAAGCTGGGCTGGGCTGGCTCGCTGACTGGGCTGGGCTGGCTCACTGACTGGGCTGGGCTGGCTCACTGACTGAGCTGGGCTGGGCTGGCTCGCTGACTGAGCTGGACGCGAGTCAGGGGTCGGCAAGCCTGCGGCTCTTGAAGGGAGGGACTGGCTTCGTACAATTGTGGTTCCTGAAAGATTGAGGGGTTTTTTTGTTCTTGAATTAAACCGAATTCGAAATGAGAAATAATGGCTCGATCTTGTTGTTTCGGTTGCAGCCCCCCCTCCACCTCCCCCTCTGGGCCGGATGGTTGTAGCTGGTGGCCGTGGCTGCTGCAGCGACTCTCCCTCCCTCTGTGGTGAATCTCGCCGCGGTGATCGCCACGCCACAGCATCCCGCCACCGTCTGGGTGCGGATTCCGTCCGGTGTGCGCTCCGTGCTCATGTCCAGAGGAGGGTCTTTAACGTCCCCATGGGCGGAGGGGGCAATGCCCCTCCAAGTATGAGAGGCAAAGCGAACCCCCCCCCCCCAAGCCCCCGAAATATAGAAGTCAAATTCCACTATGCCCCCCCCCCTCCACTTAGACATCCACGCAGCCGCCAGCGCTGTGGGTGGTGAAGGTAAACCGCTGGGAGCCGGATTCGTGTGACGATGATAACAGCGACGATAACAATAATGACGATACTCTTTTGTGCTTTCGGTAAAGTCACGGAGGTAGAAAAATAATAGATCGTCAGGTGGGACAACCACAGCAAGAAAAAACTGCTGGGGTTTTTGGCGATCGAAACGTCGTGATATATTATTTTTCTACCGACGTGACTTTACCGAAAGAACCAAAGAGTATGGATTCCTGCAGTCACGAAAGCTTCAAATCAATCATGACAAGCGGATCCAAGCTCAGGGCTGCTCGAAAGCCACCAGATCCGGGCAGAGATCGAGAGGAGGCCTTGAGGTGCTGCTTGAAAAGCCAGAGTGCGATTGCTCCGAGTCGCGAATCGTGACGGCGAGTTACGTTCCGTGGTGCCGCTCTGCTCGCACCGCGGCGCCGGCGTCTTGGCGATTTGCTCGCTTCCCGTTCCTCTCCGTTGAACTCCTGTATTGTGTTTGTTGTGTTTGTTGTGACTTCGTGACGTACTCTCTGGTTCTTTCGGTAAAGTCACGTGGATAGAAACAATAATAACAGAACACGACGGTGAGGATGCTTGTGTTGCGACCGAAACGTCGTGTTCTTTTATTGTTTTTTTCTACCTACGTGACTTTACCGATAGAACCAGAGATTATGGATTCCTGCAGTCACGAAAGCTTCAAATCAACTTTGTGACTTCTTTACTGGAACCATCTGTGATGAAAAGAGCTTTAGACCTCATCGGATTCCTCCTCCTCCAGGATGAACAAAGATTCTGATTCTTTGCACGCCGTGAGCACCTCAACCACGGATTGTTATTTTAAAGGGCACCCCCAGCGGCAGGTTTATAAAACTAGTTTATTATACCAGGTAGGGCCAACTGAGCCTCAACCTGTAGCTCTTTTTCAGAAGCGACCTGGCTATCAGAAATGAAAGCTCAACGAAGTGGCCTTATCATCAGGTGGACATGGAAAGCAACGAAAAAACTCTGAACGTGTGATGTTGATTCTAAATGTGGAGGGGAAAAAACGGAGGACTCGGAGAAAAAAGATCCACGTGACCACGAGGAAAGAGACATGCAAACTACAAATATACTATTTAAACTATTTTAAAACTATTTAAAACTATTTTTTAACCAGGTAACGCCCACTTAACTATATATAGTTATTTTTCAGAAGCGACGTGGCTATCACAAATGATTGCTCAACGAAGTGGAGTCGGGAGAGTTGGGAGGAGAGCGAGGGGAGGGGAGAGTCGAGAGAGAATGGTTTTGTCAATGTTTGCCCAGGTGGTATGCTAACTTCGATTTTTAGAATGGAATTTGACACTCAAAGTTACGTGTTGTAGATTTTATGTTTGTTTTGCCAGACATCACGTTAGTCCGCTGCTGGGTAAATGGGGATCGTTGGCAATATTTGGCATTGAATTTTTTTTGTCTCGAGACAAAATCGTGGATGTTTGTCGTTGCAGCAGTTTTTATACCACATTTCAGTGTCTCCTGGCGACTGGGAATCGCACTTTTACCAATTGCACGCGACTTTTTTTGTTGCATTTCGCTGGCAAAGTTCGCCGTTATGTTGCAAGCCACCCCCTCCCCTTGGCTTACGGCTTCAATTAATCGAAACCCCGGTTTCAATGACAATATTCGTAAAACGTCACTCCAAGTCAATTAAATGCAACGGCGCCCCCTAGTGACATCATCGCTTACTTTGCAAGGAGGCAAACACCGGCGTCAGAATATTTACAATTTTTGGTTGTTTCACCAGGTAACCCCCACTGAGCAATTAACGCTCGTTTTTTAGACGGGACCTGGCCACAATTCTAGCTCAACTAAGTGGCTTGTCGTGTGGAAATTTACAGCAGCCAAATAATTCTAAACGCGTGACGTTGATTCTAAATGTGGAGGGGAAAACCTGGAGGACCTGGAGAATAAGCATAACCAGTAAAAACAAAGTTTTTCACTATAAATCCTTTATATGCGTGGCGGTTAGAGTCCTCTCGTCCTCTGGCTTGAGATGGCTGCCACCTATGGGTCAGATGATTGCATTGCACCATTAAGCAATTGGTAATTAAATATATTTTTGTCCTAAACAGTGTAAAATTTTGGAAAAAAAGTTTTCACGAACATTAATTGTCACGCACAACGAGTCTGTGTGGAAAATGTCAGCTCGATTGGATCACGGGAAGTGGGTTAAAAAACGACCAAAAGATTTGCACGGTCCTAAGCAAGCAAGCGAACTTAATATAAAGGATTTAAAAATCCACATGACCACGGGGAGAGACACCTTAAACTCCAAATATACAGCAGCACGCGTCAGGGTCGGGGTCGAACTCACGGCCTCCTGTACACCAGGCGAGGAAGTTAACATCTCCTCGCCACCGTGCTACCCACTACCCCACGTGGGCTCGGTGCGAGCAGTCCATGTCCTGCTTATTACATCATTGTCATTTTTGACATTTGTATTGCAGATTTAGTTTATACGTGTATGAAATATTTAGTAAAATTGAATAAACACATTCCCCGTTTGACTTTGCGTGATTCAATCGGAAATACAAATGAGATCGAGTCAGCTTAACACGTCGTGGGTTAGATCGCGTACATTTTTAACCGAAACGTCGGACTCGAATTGTAAACGTTGTAGTGAGTTTACTCTCCGACACACCGGTGTGCTATACGAGTAACTGGCAGGTTTTGTTTACGTGACAAACCTTACTAATTGGCCGTCTCGGGTGGTGGCAGGTTTTAACGACTTTTACGCGAAGTATCCCAAAACAACCTTTTATGGATGAGCTGTTAACGACCTCACTTGGTATACAGGTCGTGGATTTGAACCTGGGACCCCATGGCTCACAGCCCG